CTGTCTAGTGTTGTTACTACACTGTTATGTGTTACTACACTGTCTAGTGTTGTTACTACACTGTCTAGTGTTGTTACTACACTGTCTAGTGTTGTTACTACACTGTCTAGTGTTACTACACTGTCTAGTGTTGTTACTACACTGTCCAGTGTTGTTACTACACTGTCTAGTGTTGTTACTACACTGTCTAGTGTTGTTACTACCCTGTTATGTGTTACTACACTGATCTAGTGTTGTTACTACACTGTCTAGTGTTGTTACTACACTGTCTAGTGTTGTTACTACACTGTTTAGTGTTGTTACTACACTGTCTATTGTTGTTACTACACTGTTATGTGTTACTACACTGGCTAGTGTTGTTACTACACTGTCTAGTGTTGTTTCTACCCTGCTATGTGTTACTACACTGTCTAGTGTTGTTACTACACTGTCTAGTGTTGTTACTACACTGTCTAGTGTTGTTACTACACTGTTTGTGTTACTCACCTGTTTGTTACTACACTGTCTAGGTTTTTTACTACACTGTCTAGTGTTGTTACTACACTGTCTAGTGTTGTTACTACACCCGTCTAGTGTTTTCTACACTGTTAGTGTTTACTACACTGTCTAGTGTTGTTACTACACTGTCTAGTGTTGTTACTACTGTCTAGTGTTGTTACTACACTGTCTAGTGTTGTTACTACTGTCTAGTGTTGTTACTACACTGTCTAGTGTTGTTACTACACTGTCTAGTGTTGTTACTACACTCTAGTGTTGTTACTACACTGTCTAGTGTTGTTACTACACTGTCTAGTGTTGTTGCTACACTGTCTATGTTACTTACTACCTGTCTAGTGTTGTTACTACACTGTTATGTGTTACTACACTGTCTAGTGTTGTTACTACACTGTCTATTGTTACTACTGTTATGTGTTACTACACTGTCTAGTGTTGTTACTACACTGTTATGTGTTACTACACTGGATAGTGTTGTTACTACACTGTCTAGTGTTGTTACTACACTGTCTAGTGTTGTTACTACACTGTCTAGTGTTGTTACTACACTGTCTGTGTTGTTACTACACTGTGTAGTGTTGTTACTACACTGTCTATTGTTGTTACTACACTGTCTAGTGTTGTTTCTACCCTGCTATGTGTTACTACACTGTCTAGTGTTGTTACTACACGTCTATTGTTACTACCTGTGTTGTTACTACACTGTCTATTATTTTATTATATACAGCGGAACAGCCGTTTGGGTTACTACACTGTCTGGGATTTTTACTTCACTGTTAATGGTACTGACACTGTATCCTAGTATGTACCCCACAGCGTCAAGGGTTCTTAACTACACTGTCTAGTGTTGTTACTACTACTGTTATGTGTTACTACACTGGCTAGTGTTGTTACTACACTGTCTAGTGTTGTTACTACACTGTCTAGTGTTGTTACTACTGTCTAGTGTTGTTACTTTCCACTGTTAGTGTTGTTACTACACTGTCTAGTGTTGTTACTACTGTCTAGTGTTACTACACTGTCTAGTGTTGTTACTACACTGTTATGTGTTACTACACTGATAGTGTTGTTACTACACTGTCTAGTGTTGTTACTACACTGTCTAGTGTTGTTACTACACTGTCTAGTGTGTTACTACACTGTCTAGTGTTGTTATCTTCTAGTACTACCTGCTATGTTGTTACTACCTGTCTATGTGTTACTACACTGTCTAGTGTTGTTACTACACTGTCTAGTGTTGTTACTACACTGTCTAGTGTTGTTACTACACTGTCTAGTGTTGTTACTACACTGTCTAGTGTTGTTACTACACTGTCTAGTGTTGTTGTTATACTGTCTAGTGTTGTTACTACACTGTCTTTTGTTATTGTTATACTGTCTAGTGTTGTTACTACACTGTCTAGTGTTGTTACTACACTGTCTAGTGTTGTTACTACTGTCTAGTGTTGTTACTACACTGTCTAGTGTTGTTACTACACTGTCTAGTGTTGTTACTACACTGTCTAGTGTTGTTACTACACTGTCTAGTGTTGTTACTACACTGTCTAGTGTTGTTACTACACTGTCTAGTGTTGTTACTACACTGTCTAGTGTTGTTACTACACTGTCTTTTGTTATTGTTATACTGTCTAGTGTTGTTACTACACTGTCTAGTGTTGTTACTACACTGTCTAGTGTTGTTATACTGTCTAGTGTTGTTACTACACTGTCTAGTGTTGTTATACTCTCTAGTGTTGTTAATATACTGTCTAGTGTTGTTACTACACTGTCTAGTGTTGTTATACTGTCTAGTGTTGTTACTACACTGTCTAGTGTTGTTTATCTACACTGTCTAGTGTTGTTATACCCGTCTAGTGTTGTTACTACACTGTTAGTGTTGTTATACCTGTCTAGTTTTTGTTACTACACTGTCTAGTGTTGTTTCTACTCTCTATGTTTTTTACTTAGTGGACCACTTCTAGTGTTGTTATAACTGTCTAGTGTTGTTACTACACTGTCTATTGTTGTTATACTGATTAGTGTTGTTAACTACACTGTCTAGTGTTGTTATACTCTCAGTGTTTTAAATGTCTAGGTTGTAACTCACAGTGTTGTTAATATACTGTCATGTTGTCTAGATTTATAGGGACTACACTGTCTTGTTACATACATGATACTGTGTGTACTACACTCTATAGTAGGGTAGATACTTAACATGTAGTAGATTGTTAACATTAGTCAGAATCTCTAAGTGTGTTACTATTCTGTGTTGTTACTTGACATGTAGTGTATCTACAAAATGTAGTAGATTCTTGTTACTAGATTTCTATGTGTTGTTACTCTGAACACTGTACTTAGTGATTCTAACACTGTAGTAGATATCTCTACACATTTGTGGGTATCCTGAACATGTGTGATTTCTAACATGTGTAGATTTGACATTATATATCTCTCATGTAGTAGATACTCCCGATCAGTAGTGTTTCTGAACATTGTAGTAGTTCTTGAACATGTAGTAGATATCTCTAACTGTATGTGTAATACACTGTCTAGTGTTGTTACTACACTGTTAGTGTGTACTTACACATGTCTAGTGTATGTTTACTACACTGTCTAGTGTTGTATACTACACTGTCTAGTGTGTTACTACACTGTCTAGTGTTGTTGATATACTGTCTAGTGTTGTTACTACACTGTCTTTGTTATTGTTATACTGTCTAGTGTTGTTACTACACTGTCTAGTGTTGTTTACTACACTGTCTAGTGTGTTACTAACTGTCTAGTGTTGTTACTACACGTCTAGTGTTTTACTACACTGTCTAGTGTTGTTACTACACTGTCTAGTGTTTTTACTAAAACTGTCTAGTGTTGTTACTACACTGTCTAGGGTTTTTACTACACGTCTGTGTTGATTTCTACCTGCTATTGTTTTTACTACACTGTCTTTTGTTTTTGTTATAACTGTCTAGTGTTGTTACTACACTGTCTAGTGTTGTTACTACACTGTCTAGTGTTGTTATACTGTCTAGTGTTGTTACTACACTGTCTAGTGTTGTTATACTCTCTAGTGTTGTTAATATACTGTCTAGTGTTGTTACTACACTGTCTAGTGTTGTTATACTGTCTAGTGTTGTTACTACACTGTCTAGTGTTGTTATACTGTCTAGTGTTGTTACTACACTCTCTAGTGTTGTTATACTGTCTAGTGTTGTACTACACTGTCTAGTGTGTTTAAAACTGTCTATGTTGTTTTACAACTGTTCAGTGTTGTTATACTCTCTAGTGTTGTTAATATACTGTCTAGTGTTGTTACTACACTCTCTAGTGTTGTTATACTGTCTAGTGTTGTTACTACACTCTCTAGTGTTGTTATACTGTCTAGTGTTGTTACTACACTGTCTAGTGTTGTTATACTCTCTAGTGTTGTTAATATACTGTCTAGTGTTGTTATACTCTCTAGTGTTGTTAATATACTGTCTAGTGTTGTTACTACATTATATAGTGTTGTACTACACTGTCTTGTTACTACATTGAAATACTGATCAAAGTGCCTCACACATCATCTCCACTAGTAGAGGTAGATATCTCTGAACATGTAGTAGATATCTCTGAACATGTAGTAGATATCTCTGAACATGTAGTAGATATCTCTGAACATGTAGTAGATATCTCTGAACATGTAGTAGATATCTCTGAACATGTAGTAGATATCTCTGAACATGTAGTAGATATCTCTGAACATGTAGTAGATATCTCTGAACATGTAGTAGATATCTCTGAACATGTAGTAGATATCTCTGAACATGTAGTAGATATCTCTGAACATGTAGTAGATATCTCTGAACATGTAGTAGATATCTCTGAACATGTAGTAGATATCTCTGAACATGTAGTAGATATCTCTGAACATGTAGTAGATATCTCTGAACATGTAGTAGATATCTCTGAACATGTAGTAGATATCTCTGAACATGTAGTAGATATCTCTGAACATGTAGTAGATATCTCTGAACATGTAGTAGATATCTCTGAACATGTAGTAGATATCTCTGAACATGTAGTAGATATCTCTGAACATGTAGTAGATATCTCTGAACATGTAGTAGATATCTCTGAACATGTAGTAGATATCTCTGAACATGTAGTAGATATCTCTGAACATGTAGTAGATATCTCCTGGTATGTAAGAATGTATAAAATTCTGGGTTGGGTTACTGGGTTGTCAGTAATGCCATTAGTCAAGGGATAACGAGCTTTGACTACTGCGTTAGTTATCATACTACTGTGAATGACTATCCTTCTAGTACACTAGCAGCATGACAAAGATGGGAGTGGGGGGGAGGGAGGGAGGGAGGGAGGGGGGTGTCAGGGGCGGTGGTTGGGAGGGTAAAAATTCTCTGAACAATTGTTTGAGGGGGGTGTAGGCTGTGAGGTAGGGTTTGCCTAGGCCTAAGAGATGTGACGGGTGCCAGACACGTTTAGGACATGACACAGCAAGGAGTGTACACGTCTCAAAGGTTTAATACCGTGAATGCTGTGGTGGACTTGCTCTTTCGAGATACAGCGCCGCCGGTTCGAATCCTGACCATGGGCTATGTACATTCCACGTCGTGACATTCCTAAATGTAGAGAGTCCACATTACAATATCATTCTCGTGTGTAATATATCTAGCTAGTAATGGTGTTTATCTAGTAAGAGTGTTCCTAGCTAAGAGAAAGATCGTCATAAAGAAAGCATAGCATGGGTGAGGCTCCAAGTTATGTCAAGTGAGTCGTCAAACTCCAGGCCGGTGCGTAAACCACTACGCCACCTCGCCACAATAACATTCATCCAATTAGGTATGCTTATACACCATAGGAAGGTTAGCATGGGCCACCACTGTGACCACAGATGTGTTTACAGGTGAATGTGCCGCAGCTGGCAGCACATTCACCTGTAAACACTTACATTGGTGGTCACAGTGGTGGCCAAGCTAACCTTCCAATGGTGTACACACATACCTAGTTAGATGAATGTTATTGCAGCCAGGTGGCCCAGTGGTTTACGCACCGGCCTGGAGTTTTACCCCTCACATACCATAAGTTCTAACCCCACTTGTACCATATTTGGCGAGTCACACAACTTTATATTATATCACATTAAAAACTGGAACTTTAAGAGAGTAACTTAGTGTTGACAGATTAACAATGTAACGAATACTAACAATAATAATGTATTTTTTATATGGTAATATTTAAAAGAATAACTTTATATAAGGGATATTATCTTATTAGTTGACAAGTAGTCTGGAGTCTGACCTGCCAGTACCTGGTGGTGGGCTACCAGTACCTGGTGGTGGGCTACCAGTACCTGGTGGTGGGCTACCAGTACCTGATGGTGGGCTACCAGTACCTGGTGGTGGGCTACCAGTACCTGCAGGTGGGCTACCAGTACCTGCTGGTGGGCTACCAGTACCTGCTGGTGGGCTACCAGTACCTGCTGGTGGGCTACCAGTACCTGCTGGTGGGCTACCAGTACCTGCTGGTGGGCTACCAGTACCTGCAGGTGGGTTACCAGTACCTGCTGGTGGGCTACCAGTACCTGCTGGTGGGCTACCAGTACCTGCTGGTGGGCTACCAGTACCTGCTGGTGGGCTACCAGTACCTGCTGGTGGGCTACCAGTACCTGCTGGTGGGCTACCAGTACCTGCTGGTGGGCTACCAGTACCTGCTGGTGGGCTACCAGTACCTGCTGGTAGGCTACCAGTACCTGGTGGTGGGCTACCAGTACCTGGTGGTGGGCTACCAGTACCTGCTGGTGGGCTACCAGTACCTGCTGGTGGGCTACCAGTACCTGGTGGTGGGCTACCAGTACCTGCTGGTGGGCTACCAGTACCTGCTGGTGGGCTACCAGTACCTGCTGGTGGGCTACCAGTACCTGCTGGTGGGCTACCAGTACCTGCTGGTGGGCTACCAGTACCTGCTGGTAGGCTACCAGTACCTGGTGGTGGGCTACCAGTACCTGGTGGTGGGCTACCAGTACCTGCTGGTGGGCTACCAGTACCTGCTGGTGGGCTACCAATACCTGGTGGTGGGCTACCAGTACCTGCTGGTGGGCTACCAGTACCTGCTGGTGGGCTACCAGTACCTGCTGGTGGGCTACCAGTACCTGCTGGTGGGCTACCAGTACCTGCTGGTGGGCTACCAGTACCTGCTGGTGGGCTACTAGTACCTGCTGGTGGGCTACTAGTACCTGCTGGTGGGCTACCAGTACCTGCTGGTGGGCTACCAGTACCTGCTGGTGGTCAACCAGTACTTGCTGGTGGGCTACCAGTACCTGCTGTTGGTGTGCCAGTACCTGCTGGTGGGCTACCAGTACCTGCTGGTGGGCTACCAGTACCTGCTGTTGGTCTACCAGTACCTGCTGTTGGTCTGCCAGTACCTGCTGGTGGGCTACCAGTACCTGCTGGTGGGCTACCAGTACCTGCTGGTGGGCTACTAGTACCTGCTGGTGGGCTACCAGTACCTGCTGGTGGGTTACCAGTACCTGCTGTTGGTCTACCAGTACCTGCTGTTGGTCTACCAGTACCTGCTGGTGGGCTACCAGTACCGGCTGGTGGGCTACCAGTACCTGCTGTTGGTCTACCAGTACCTGCTGTTGGTCTACTAGTACCTGCTGTTGGTCTACCAGTACCTGCTGTTGGTCTACCAGTACCTGCTGTTGGTCTACCAGCAATTGCTTTTGGTCTACCAGTACCTGCTGGTGGGCTACCAGTACCTGCTGGTGGGCTACCAGTACCTGCTGGTGGGCTACCAGTACCTGCTGTTGGTCTACCAGTACCTGCTGTTGGTCTACTAGTACCTGCTGTTGGTCTACCAGTACCTGCTGTTGGTCTACTAGTACCTGCTGTTGGTCTACCCGTACCTGCTGTTGGTCTACCAGTACCTGCTGTTGGTCTACCAGTACCTGCTGTTGGTCTACTAGTACCTGCTGTTGGTCTACCAGTACCTGCTGTTGGTCTACCAGTAACCTCACAATTTTGGTCACAGGTCTCTCACTGTTGGTCACAGGTCTCACTGTTGGCCACAGGTCTCTCACTGTTGGCAACAGGTCTCTCACTGTTGGCCACAGGTCTCACTGTTGGTCACAGGTCTCTCACTGTTGGTCACAGGTCTCTCACTGTTGGCCACAGGTCTCACTGTTGGTCACAGGCCTCTCACTGTTGGTCACAGGTCTCATTGTTGGTCACAGGCCTCTCACTGTTGGCCACAGGTCTCCCTGTTGTTCACAGGTCTCTCACTGTTGGCCACAGGTCTCTCTCTGTTGGTCACAGGTCTCACTGTTGGTCACAGGTCTCTCTCACTGTTGGCCACAGGTCTCACTGTTGGTCATAGGTTTCTCACTGTTGGTTACAGGTCTCACTGATGGTCATAGGTCTCTCACTGTTGGCCACAGGTCTCACTGTTGGTCATAGGTCTCTCACTGTTGGTCACAGGTCTCACTGTTGGTCATAGGTCTCTCATTGTTGGTCACAGGTCTCACTGTTGGTCATAGGTCTCTCACTGTCGGTCACAGGTCTCACTGGTCACAGGTCTCACTGTTGGTCACAGGTCTCTCACAGGACTTTCACTGTAGTGGATAACTCCACTAATCACTATTGCTCACCCACACCGTGAGCTTCACAAAGCCTCTATATTATACAACATACATACAATATTATACAACATACATACAATAGTGTGCAAATTTATTGGGACAGGAGTAAATTTTGTGATTATCTCATAATATATCTTAGTCTCCGTCTTAATGTAGTTTTTTTTTATTTTCATAAGAATTTGTTACTGACTTCTGGCAACCATCCAGCTATGGTGTTACCCTGCGACTCTAATCAGTGCTACAACAGCTGTTGTTCTGTAAGGCCATTCCTGCCAGCGCACTTCATGAGTGAATGTGGTTTTGCTAAATTCTTCCCTTCAGTTCATGATTACTGCTGAACATGATGGATGTTAAACCAAGGAAGCGTGCAAGTATTGTAGCTCTTAGAATTTTTTGGCGATCAGAGAGATCGCCAAAAAATTGAGCCTAGCAAAGTGAACTGTTGGTGGGATTCTGAAGAGAGTTGACGACACTGGTGATTGTGGAGTGTTGCGTCGAGGAAGATGTGGATAAAAACGTAAGACAACACCTCACGATGACAAGGTTATCATAAATAACGTGAAGGAGCCCAAGAAAACCAGCAAAGATATATAGAGAGGTTTGGCTTCAGCTGCGTAAATGTTGATTCTTCAACTGTTCAACGAAGGCTCCTTGAAGTTGCCAGAACTGCCAGAAAACTGATAAAGAAACAATTATAGACTGATGCTGTGAGGAATAAACGGCTGCGGTGGACACTCGATCATAAGGGATGGTGCACAGATGAGGCGCATTTTGATGTACATGGGTACAGATCAGTGGTAGTGAAGTACATGGGTGCAGATCAGTGGTAGTGAAGTACATGGGTACAGATCAGTGGTAGTGAAGTACATGGGTACAGATCAGTGGTAGTCAAGTACATGGGTACAGATCAGTGGTAGTCAAGTACATGGGTACAGATCAGTGGTAGTCAAGTACATGGGTACAGATCAGTGGTAGTGAAGTACATGGGTACAGATCAGTGGTAGTCAAGTACATGGGTACAGATCAGTGGTAGTCAAGTACATGGGTGCAGATCAGTGGTAGTGAAGTACATGGGTACAGATCAGTGGTAGTGAAGTACATGGGTACAGATCAGTGGTAGTGAAGTACATGGGTACAGATCAGTGGTAGTCAAGTACATGGGTACAGATCAGTGGTAGTCAAGTACATGGGTGCAGATCAGTGGTAGTGAAGTACATGGGTACAGATCAGTGGTAGTGAAGTACATGGGTACAGATCAGTGGTAGTGAAGTACATGGGTACAGATCAGTGGTAGTCAAGTACATGGGTACAGATCAGTGGTAGTCAAGTACATGGGTACAGATCAGTGGTAGTCAAGTACATGGGTACAGATCAGTGGTAGTGAAGTACATGGGTACAGATCAGTGGTAGTCAAGTACATGGGTACAGATCAGTGGTAGTCAAGTACATGGGTGCAGATCAGTGGTAGTCAAGTACATGGGTACAGATCAGTGGTAGTCAAGTACATGGGTACAGATCAGTGGTAGTCAAGTACATGGGTACAGATCAGTGGTAGTCAAGTACATTGGTGCAGATCAGTGGTAGTCAAGTGCATGGGTACAGATCAGTGGTAGTCAAGTACATGGGTACAGATCAGTGGTAGTCAAGTACATGGGTACAGATCAGTGGTAGTCAAGTACATGGGTACAGATCAGTGGTAGTCAAGTACATGGGTACAGATCAGTGGTAGTCAAGTACATGGGTACAGATCAGTAGTAGTCAAGTACATGGGTACAGATCAGTGGTAGTCAAGTACATGGGTACAGATCAGTGGTAGTCAAGTACATGGGTGCAGATCAGTGGTACTCAAGTGCATGGGTACAGATCAGTGGTAGTCAAGTACATGGGTACAGATCAGTGGTAGTCAAGTACATGGGTACAGATCAGTGGTAGTCAAGTACATGGGTGCAGATCAGTGGTAGTCAAGTACATGGGTACAGATCAGTGGTAGTCAAGTACATGGGTACAGATCAGTGGTAGTGAGACGGAGCAAAGGCGAACCACTTTGGAATGGACACATTCAACAAGCGCCAAATAACCCACCTAAAAGATAGGATAGTTTTAGTGCTAAAGACCATGGACGGCTTGTTATTGTTGAGGGAATGATGAACAATGACAAATACAAGATAATCCTGCCAACTCATTTGCTTCCCATTGTGGACAGAGACTTTCCTGAAGTTAGTTTAGTTTAATATGTTTATTATGCACCCCATACCCATCCTGTGGGCTGTAGTCAAAAGATTACAGAGGTACATAATTGGTCCAGGGACTGGACTCCAAAGTTTTGATAGCTGAGCAAGTTGCTTCCTGAAGGAGAAGGGATTTTCCAGCAGGATCCTGTTCCATGCCACACGTCCAGAAAAATACTAACATTCTTCCAAGAGAATGAGTTAAATGTTCTAAATTGGCCTGGAAACTCTCCTGACCTCAATCCAACTGAGAATCTATGGGCAATAACCAGACGCAGGATAATGAAACAAGACTGTTCAACTGTGGAGAAGTTAATTTTTGCTGTTATTAGGACCTGGTACCATGTAAAGTAAAAGGACACAAGTGCAACTAATGTGACATTTTATTGTGGCAACGTTTCGCTCTCCAGGAGCTTTGTCAAGCCGTTACAAACAGTACATGGACACAGGGTATATATAGACTCAGAGTGAGGTGCATACTAGTGGTAGTAGTTTGTAGTGACATAAGTTATATAGACTTCTCTATCCAGTTTATATTTGTCTGACCTATTTTTGTTACCCAAGTAATAGCTTTTATCCTTTTACTCATGAACGAGTTAATTGCTCTACCATATTGTATTACTACTACTACTACAACTTATGTCACTACTACTACTACTACCACTAGTATTGCACCTCACTCTGAGCCTATATATACCCTCTGTGTCCATGTACTGTTTGTAACGGCTTGACTAAGTTCCTGGAGAGCGAAACGTTGCCACAATAAAATGTCACATTAGTTGCACTTGTGTTCTTTTACTTTACATATTGTGGGTAATTCTACCAACATTATCAGGACCTGGTACCATGGGGAAGAACTTGACAAATAGTGTTCAACACTGGTCACTTCTATGCTATAGTGTGTAGCAATGCTTATAAAAGCAAAGGGTACTCATATATTTTATTAAATCAATTGTCTGTCATATGTCACGTAATTTTCAAACATCAATATTCTACATGTCTTGCTTCATCACTGTCCCAGTTAATATGCACACTAGTTTGTATACATGTATACACAAAGTAGAGGTGTATGAGAGCACTGCAGGGAGAGGCAGCATGTATACCAGTGTATACCTGACGACAGTGTTATCTCCTGGAAGCCGGGATAACTTGAAAGTTATCTTGAATGTTATCAGCCCCATCACTGTTGTGTGGTAGATCACTGCTGTTGTGTGGTAGATCACTGCTGTTGTGTGGTAGATCACTGCTGTTGTGTGGTATATCACTGTTGTTGTGTCGTAGGTCATTGTTAGTGTGTGGTAGATCACTGTTGTTGTGTGGTAGATCACTGTTGTTGTGTGGTAGATCACTGTTGTTGTGTGGTATATCACTGTTAGTGTGGTAGATCACTGTTGTGTGGTAGATCACTGTTGTTGTGTGGTAGATCACTGCTGTTGTGTGGTAGATCACTCCTGTTGTGTGGTATATCACTGTTAGTGTGGTAGATCACTGTTGTGTGGTAGATCACTGTTGTTGTGTGGTAGATCACTGTTGTTGTGTGGTAGATCACTGTTGTTGTGTGGTATATCACTGTTAGTGTGGTAGATCACTGTTGTGTGGTAGATCACTGTTGTTGTGTGGTAGATCACTGCTGTTGTGTGGTAGATCACTGCTGTTGTGTGGTATATCACTGTTAGTGTGGTAGATCACTGTTGTGTGGTAGATCACTGTTGTTGTGTGATAGATCACTGTTAGTGTGTGGTGGATCATTGTTGTTGTGTGGTAGATCACTGTTAGTGTATGGTAGATCACTGTTGTTGTGTGGTAGATCACTGTTAGTGTGGTAGATCACTGTTGTTGTGTGGTAGATCACTGTTGTTATGTGCTACATCTCTGTTGTTGTGTGGTAGATCACTGTTGTTGTGTGATAGATCACTGTTGTTGTGTCGTAGGTCATTGTTAGTGTGTGGTAGATCACTGTTAGTGTGTGGTAGATCACTGTTAGTGTGTCGTAGATTACTGTTACTGTGTCATAGATCACTGTTGTGTCGTATATTACTGTTAGTGTGTCGTAGATCACTGCTGTTGTGTGGTAGATCACTGCTGTTGTGTGGTATATCACTGTTAGTGTGGTAGATCACTGTTGTGTGGTAGATCACTGTTGTTGTGTGGTAGATCACTGTTGTTGTGTGGTAGATCACTGTTGTTATGTGCTACATCTCTGTTGTTGTGTGGTAGATCACTGTTGTTGTGTGGTAGATCACTGTTGTTGTGTGATAGATCACTGTTGTTGTGTCGTAGGTCATTGTTAGTGTGTGGTAGATCACTGTTAGTGTGTGTGGTAGATCACTGTTAGTGTGTGGTAGATCACTGTTGTGTGGTAGATCACTGTTATGTGGTAGATCACTGTTAGTGTGTGGTAGATCACTGTTAGTGTGTGGTAGATCACTGTTGTGTGGTAGATCACTGTTGTTATGTGGTAGATCACTGTTAGTGTGTGGTAGATCACTGTTAGTGTATGGTAGATCACTGTTGTTGTGTGGTAGATCACTGTTAGTGTGTGGTGGATCATTGTTGTTGTGTGGTAGATCACTGTTAGTGTGGTAGATCACTGTTAGTGTGGTAGATCACTGTTTGTGTGGTAGATCACTGTTTGTGTGGTAGATCAATATTGTTGGGTGGTAGATCACTGTTAGTGTGGTAGATCACTGTTGTTGTGTGGTAGATCGCTCTTGTTTTGCGGTAAATCACTGTTGTTGTGTGCGGTAAATCACTGTTGTTGTGTGTGGTAGATCACTGTTGTTGTGTGGTAGATCACTGTTTGTGTGGTAGACAACCACTGGTCTCTAGTAGATCCCTGTTGGTGTGGTTGACAACCACTGGTCTCTGGTAGATCACTGTTGGTGGGTGTTAGACAACCGTTGGTCTCTGGTAGACCACTGTTGGTGTGTGGTTGATCACTGTTGGTGTGGTAGATCACTGTTGGTCTCTGGTAGACCACTGTTAGTGTGTGGTTGATCACTGTTGGTGTGGTAGATCACTGTTGGTATGGTAGAACACTGTGGTATAGCCATGATGGTCTGTGGTCTCCTGCCTTAACGGTCTACTTTTGGGTCTGGCTTGGAACGCGCAGCTAAAAGACTTTTAGTCTCACCTGTAGAGTTGGTCTGCATCTGTTTCTCCTCAACCTTCTCATCCTGGTGGAAGACCACGGTCCAGCGGTCCAGACGGATGTCCTCAGCATCAATCACATCCTTCAACAGGTTGATGGGGTCCTCCCCACCGTTGTAACCCGGACCCCATCGTAGTACCCGGGCCAGGTCGTTACCGGTGCCCAGAGGAACGATAGCACAGGCTGGGTGCTGGCACTCTGAATCCTGACCCACGTTATCCAGGCACTGTAGTACCCAGCCGATGGTGCCATCACCGCCACACACCAGGATCTTGTAATGCTTCACTTGTCGGAACACATACAGCCTGAAGCAGTGACATGAGTTACCTACATAGATCTTGAAGCAGTGACATGAGTTACCTACACAGATCTTGAAGCAGTGACATGAGTTACCTACACAGATCTTGAAGCAGTGACATGAGTTACCTACATAGATCTTGAAGCAGTGACATGAGTTACCTACACAGATCTTGAAGCAGTGACATGAGTTACCTACATAGATCTTGAAGCAGTGACATGAGTTACCTACATAGATCTTGCAGCAGTGACATGAGTTACCTACACATAGAAAATGAGACAGTGAACATTAGTCTTCAGTGAACCTCTCACAAAGAGAAAGACATGAGAACCTTAAGCCAGTTTGACTCTTAACTAAGAGCACTCAATTTCCACTGACTTGTGCCACAAGTGTGTCCTGGTAAGGGACTCCCAGTATGGACTTACCCTGGCAGGGGTGGTGAGGGACTCCCAGTATGAACTCACCCTGGCAGGGGTGGTGAGGGACTCCCAGCATGGACTCACCCTGGCAGGGGTGGTAAGGGACTCCCAGTATGAACTCACCCTGGCAGGGGTGGTAAGGGACTCCCAGCATGGACTCACCCTGGCAGCGGTGGTCAGGGACTCCCAGCATGGACTCACCCTGGCAGGGGCGGTAAGGGACTCCCAGCATGGACTCACCCTGGCAAGGGGCCACCGTTGTCGAGATCGAAGACTTGGTAGGGGTTTAGAAGCTTCCTGAAGGAGGTGATAAGTTCGAGTCCCTGGCACCCGCCGGACTTGACATTGACAAAGACCAGGAGAGGCTGAACACCTTCAGGAATCATCTGTGGCTGGATGTTAGGCAGCAGCATCACTGCAAGAGGACACGCAGACGTAAGTCACGCAAGAAGCTTGCACTGGCAACTTAATATTTAATCAGGGAACGCATGGGGGGTGTGGCACCCACGGTAAGTAAGTCAGGAAACTCAGGTCAGTGTGTTAAACTATGAGTCTGGAGATTGTTACTCGACGTGGGTTCAAAGCCCCACCCGTTCCCTGATTTGATTCCAGTCCTGTTATGTGAGGCATAACGACACCTTCCTGTTGTTCACTTGTTATTTCACACAGCATCAATGTGCAGGAACACGGAGCACTCTGGCACAGTCTGGCACAGTAAGTCTGGCACATTAACATTCAGTAAACATTAAAGACACTTTAGAATAGCCTTGCCTAGGAAAAAAACTTAACTTACAATCTTGTTCAGATAATAACTAAGATTCTGTAGAGTCGCAGGGATGGGGGACCTTTTTATGTTTGAAGGTCGCATTAAAGTTACCGGTAATCTAATAAGGTCACATTCAGGAAACAGTGATTAGATATAGTACTGCAAATATTGATGATTCTGTAAAAAGTTAAATACTGTATAATAACTTCAAGAAAAATAATTAATTCAGAAGGCCTAATAATTCATTCAGAATACCCTAGAAGGCCATATGCGGCCTAAAGGTCCCAGGTTCCCCATCCCTGCGACCGAGTCTAGACCAAACTGAAGAAGATCGTGAAGTCCAACAATAATAATAACAAATGCTTAGTAATAACCCACATACCTTCAGCTGAAGAGGATCCCAGAAGGGAGTCGAAATATACAGATCAATTAATCTCCTGTGTTTGTGTCTCCATGTGGGTTATTACTCAGCACTGACAAGTGTTTATTACGCTTTAGTTATCCATAATAATAAATATTTATGATTCATCAAAGGAGAAAGAGTAAAGGTGAGTCAGACAAGACTCATCAAGACTCACCCAGTAAGTTTTTGTCGTCATAACAGGACTCTCTTAGCGTGTAGAAGGCTCTGACGGCCAGGTCAGAGTCCTCGTAGGTAATGACCATGGAGCCGTACTCGTAGTAGATGGGTCCAATACTGGAGTACTTATAGCCAGCTGAGGACAAACAACATCCTGCTATAGTAACACTCTGTAACACTTGTAACACTCTCAACTGTTTTTACTAACTTTCAGTAAAAAAAAAAAACAGCTCGTTATGCCACATAACAATGTTTATGTATTTGTAGACATTATTATTATATTATTATTATTATTATTATTATTATTATTATTATTATTATTATTATTATTATTATACGAGGAGAGGTTGAGGTCGACGTCACAGTCTGACCACGACTGAGACACAACAATGCAGCAGCATTACTGACATCTTACCAACTTACCTCATAATTTGTAATATTTTACAATTAAGAATAAAACTAAGTCTGCCCGAAATGCCTAGCCATGCTAGGCGTTCTAGTGGTACACTCTGTAATGCCTAGCCATGCTAGTCGTTCTAGTGGTACACTCTGTAATGCCTAGCCATGCTAAGCGTTCTAGTGGTACACTCTGTAATGCCTAGCCATGCTAAGCGTTCTAGTGGTACACTCTGTAATGCCTAGCCATGCTAGGCGTTCTAGTGGTACACTCTGTAATGCCTAGCCATGCTAGGCGTTCTAGTGGTACACTCTGTAATCACAATTTTACTACATGTAAACCACACAATAACCAAATTTCTGTAAACTCAGCATTGTAATCCTTATAGAGAATAAACTTTGAATTTGAATCTGCTACATAGGTTCAACACATTAGTGTACTCGTTCAACACATACTTAATGCTATCCAAAGTTCTGGTCTGAGTGGCGCTGCTGGGAGTCTGCTTCATTTATCTGCAACTCTATTGCCAAACCAATACTTCCCTCTATCCTTTCTAAATCTAAATTCGTCCAACTTCAGTGTATTAAATAATAAAAAAAAGGTTACAATACCGTGACTGGAACAACATACAAATAACCAACACATAGGAAAGAGGTCCTGACCACGACCATTTACAAAGTCACAGCGTGAAACCATACCCCCGGCCGGGATTGAACCCGCGGTCATAGAGTCTCAAAACTCCAGCCCGAGTCACAGCGTGACTTTGTAAATGGTCCGAGTTGGTGCGAAACGTTGTGGTAAGCTCTTCTCTATGTGTGGGTTATTTGTGTATTGAATGTATTACCGTGAACCTTGTCTTAGTTATTACCATGAACCCTGTCTTAGTTATTACCGTGAACCTTGTCTTAGTTATTACCGTGAACCTTGTCTTAGTTATTACCGTGAACCCTGTCTTAGTTATTACCGTGAACCCTGTCTTAGTTATTACCGTGAACCTTGTCTTAGTTATTACCGTGAACCCTGTCTTAGTTATTACCGTGAACCTTGTCTTAGTTATTACCGTGAACCCTGTCTTAGTTATTACCGTGAACCCTGTCTTAGTTATTACCGTGAACCTTGTCTTAGTTATTAACGTGAACCTTGTCTTAGTTATTACCGTGAACCTTGTCTTAGTTATTACCGTGAACCTTGTCTTAGTTATTACCGTGAACCCTGTCTTAGTTATTACCGTGAACCTTGTCTTAGTTATTACCGTGAACCCTGTCTTAGTTATTACCGTGAACCTTGTCTTAGTTATTACCGTGAACCCTGTCTTAGTTATTACCGTGAACCCTGTCTTAGTTATTACCGTGAACCTTGTCTTAGTTATTACCGTGAACCTTGTCTTAGTTATTACCGTGAACCTTGTCTTAGTTATTACCGTGAACCTTGTCTTAGTTATTACCGTGAACCTTGTCTTAGTTATTACCGTGAACCTTGTCTTAGTTATTACCGTGAACCTTGTCTTAGTTATTACCGTGAACCTTGTCTTAGTTATTACCATGAACCTTGTCTTAGTTATTACCGTGAACCTTGTCTTAGTTATTACCGTGAACCTTGTCTTAGTTATTACCGTGAACCTTGTCTTAGTTATTACCGTGAACCTTGTCTTAGTTATTACCGTGAACCTTGTCTTAGTTATTACCGTGAACCTTGTCTTAGTTATTACCGTGAACCTTGTCTTAGTTATTACCGTGAACCTTGTCTTAGTTATTACCGTGAACCTTGTCTTAGTTATTACCGTGAACCCTGTCTTAGTTATTACCGTGAACCTTGTCTTAGTTATTACCGTGAACCTTGTCTTAGTTATTACCATGAACCTTGTCTTAGTTATTACCGTGAACCTTGTCTTAGTTATTACCGTGAACCTTGTCTTAGTTATTACCGTGAACCTTGTCTTAGTTATTACCGTGAACCTTGTCTTAGTTATTACCGTGAACCTTGTCTTAGTTATTACCGTGAACCTTGTCTTAGTTATTACCGTGAACCTTGTCTTAGTTATTACCGTGAACCTTGTCTTAGTTATTACCGTGAACCTTGTCTTAGTTTATACCATGAACCTTGTCTTAGTTATTACCATGAACCTTGTCTTAGTTATTACCATGAACCTTGTCTTAGTTATTACCATGAACCTTGTCTTAGTTATTACCATGAACCTTGTCTTAGTTATTACCATGAACCTTGTCTTAGTTATTACCATGA